TCCAACCTACTGACTAGCGATGGCTTCCAACCTACTAGCGATGGCTTCCAACCTACTAGCGATGGCCTCCAACCTACTAGCTATATGGCCTCCAACCTACTAGCGACGGCTTCCAACCTACTAGCGATGGCCTCCAACCTACTAGCTATGGCCTCCAACCTACTAGCGATGGCCTCCAACCTACTAGCGCTGGAGGAAGTGGATCTTGTTTCACATGTCTCTATTCAGAGCACAGCTGTGGGATGCAGTCAAACAACAGGCATGATGACATTGGGGAGCCCCCCTGGCCAGAAAAGGCCTGCTGCTTTGGTGCTCTCAAGGTGACAAAGGCAAAAGAGAACACCTACATCCAATATTTTGTTGATGGCAAGAGGACTTTGCTAGTCAATGTGCAAGGGAGCTCATGTGATTGCCACAAAGGTGTTGATGCCTTGGTTCTCTATGCTTGCAGCAATACTGGCCTGGAAAAGGCCCACATGCTCACCAAGAGAAATGAACACCCTTTAGCTTGAAGCCTGGCCTGGAAAAGGCCGCAGTAGGCAGACAGACCTGATGCTAGCTAACCGGTGTTGAAAAAGGGTTGAGCATTGAGTGGGGGGTTGGGTGGTGCAATGTAACCTTCAAAAATGGTAGCCCCTCTACAATCTAGGAATCTAAAGGGGTGTGTGGTAGCTATGTAGGGGTTTGTGATGGTAGCTATAGTGCATGTGTGTCCAGGAATCTAAACAACCATGTCCACATTCACCTGCAGCTGTTTCAACTCAAGAGAAGTGCTGAGAGAGTGCCTGCTTGTGGAAATGGTTTTCCACCTGGTTGTTTGGGCCCTTGGTGTGGTGTCCATGGCTGGGACATGCAGATTGGTGGGGCCCAGTCATGCGCTTCAATGGCCAGCTGTGGAGGCAGCGTGATGAGACTGGGTATTGGGCAAGGGTGGACCGATATGGGCGCCTTGACCATGAGCGTGAATATGTGTGGTTTGTGAACAGGGGACTCAACCCCACAGCCCGTCTATATGCCATCCCTGAACCCATTCCAATCGTGGATTGGCAGCCCATCCTCTGGCTCTGGACAACCTGGACACCATACAGGGATGGCTTGGGAGCATGGGTATGGGGGGTGGGTGTCCAGCCCATCTTCTGGGTCTGGGTTGGCATGGTGATGCCTGGCCTGACAACACCAACACCAAAGCTACGGCAGGCATGCCTGGCCTGAAAGAGGGCAACAGGAAACTCCACACCCTGAAAGCAGGCAGCTGGACGCCCTGCTTGAGCAAACGCATGATTTGCTCAAAAGAAGTCACAAATTTGATGACAAAAGCTTAGAAGAAAAATGAGGAGAAGAAGACGCTCACATCTCACCAAGAAGGTGATCAATGCCGCTCTATGGTTCACCCAAGGCGGGGCAAATATGTCTTGAGAGCCGATGCTGGGCGTTTGGAAGTGTTTGGTCGAGGAAGGTGCGTGGCAGCAATGCGAAAGAAAGTCTGCTGAGTATGGCTGGAGCGCGCAAGCAGGAATCTGCGAGTCGCAGCGCAGGCATTCAGAATCAATTGCCAGTCTGGATCTTTGGCATGCTTAGAGGCGCACAAGGTGAAGACTGAAGACATGCTCTCTGACTGGCCTACAAGTGCTTCAGCTACACGGTGACTTAGGGAGCGTGTATGCTGTTGGCCTACCGGAAAGAAATGCAACGGGATAGACGCTGCATGCAATGACGAGTGCTTTGACATCGATGTCAGTGGCAAAAAAACCTCAAGCGACCAAGACGCTCTTTAGCTTTAGCAGATCTCTCAACCATTTCCCAAGACATGGAGCACCTTGATATCGCAAGGGACATCCCAAGTCAGACGCTGCGAGCAAACCTCACCAGCAGGCGACGAGAGTTGATGGAAAGCGTATCGAATAGAAGCCGACCACCAAGTCATACTCCAGTCAATTTTAAGACCATTGAGTTGGGTCCACGGCAAGGTAATCTCAAGTATAACAAAATTTGTATTTCGCCTCGCGTCCGCGCACTTGACGCACACGATCTCCGCAGAGGGTTCGCCCAACGCAGAATTTGGGATTTCTCCTCCGTTCGCACGATCTCCGGGATTCGCATATTACCACAGTTTCGCGCGTCAGACGGACAAGATCTCCGCAGGGGGTTGCGTTTCGTCGGCCCGGCCGCCCTGCTGCCTAAAGAATAGTTATAAAGTTATAAAATGCTATAAACATTTTGAACTTGTTGTTGTGTAGATGAATTTTGTAGGTGTCTTCACCTAGATCTTGACAATTCTTAACACCGGTATCTCAACACCTGTTTCACCTGTACCTCAACACCGACTCAACACCTGTATCACCTGTATCTCAACACCTGTATCACCGGTATCTCAACACCTGCATCACCAGTATCTCAACACCTGTATCACCTATATCTCAGCACCTGTATCACCTCTACCTCCATACCTATGTCCCAATAGCTGTATCAAAACACCTGTACCTATGTAGATGTCATATATGAGGTGTTGCCCTTGCATCAGCGGATGATAACCCTGGACAATCATATCAGTCACCTGCATCAGTGCAACTTCATATGATGATGACGTTGGTGATGATGATGGTGATGATGATGATGCTGATGATGATGATAACAAACACACGGATGTCAATGATTTTTGACACTGTTGATTCTGACGATGCTGCTGATGATGACAATGGCACTGATGATAGTCCTGGTGGTGATGTTGATGGTCTTTACTGTGATATTGATAATGGTGATGATGGTGATGATGATGGTAGTAATTCATTAAACAAATTGTGCAGATGATGTTTGGACAGAAGTTCGCACCCATTCTTGAAGGAGAACCCTCGGGAAAACATGTTTTACCGTTTTCTCTGTGGGGTTTCGAGTGGGTCAGCGCTTGCGAACCGGCTTAGGTTGCTTCACACTCACATTCCGCATGGCCCATATCCATGCTCTAAGAAAAAGACCCTGGCCCACTATGCCTCACCGAGGCTGAGCCCTTCCAAGGCACTGCAAGACTCTGCCCGGCGTTTTACAGACGTCGCTTTGGGAAGGCAGGGGGGTGGAAGGGGCGGAGTGCCAAGCAAATGGGGATGAAAGATTTTGTTCGGGCTGTGCAGCGCATCAACACCCCACTGCATAAAAGTTTATGCTCCTGCTTGAGGGGTCGCTCTGGTTCGAGGCATTCTTTTCGTGTGCAGTTGTTATGCCAAAGGTTGTTCACGTGTACATTAGGTTGTTAGAGATGCCCCGAGGGAATACCCTTCCAGCTACCAGCCGAGCATGCAAACATAGTGAGCGTCGGATCAGGGATTAGATCAATGGGTTTGAACCCCACAATCTGCAGTGAAATGGGTGTGTCCCCAACTTAGCGCCACAATGTTGTTTGAATTTGTCCCAAGAAACTCCCAATTGACTCCATCTCCGCGTTTTTTCCCAGAACAGTTGCTCCATGAGAGTTCTCATCTTCCAAGCGGAGGATCAAGGCCACCTGGTAGAGTCAACAGGAACTCCCTCCTCAAGGTATCAAGCTGTCTCTCAAGGATCGTTCAGATTACTGAGATGTTCCTGGCGATGGATGCCCGCTCAAGTGCAGAACCATGTATACCAACTCCAGGTTTAATCTCCATACGATCTCGAACACCCAGGGCATCAATGCTTTCAGTCAGAATGCCTTGGCATATACTATGACTGACAGACCCTACAGATATCGACAGATACTCAAGAAAAAGATACTATTTTCTGTAATAATCTTCAGCAGATTGGTCATGCGAAGAGTCGTCTGGGTGTGGGGGACTGCTCCCTTTGCCCAGCTTGCCCTACCTGGCCGTGCACCTCCACCGGAGTGTGGTGCATAAGGAGGCTCAGTGCGGAGTGTCCTTTACTTGCAACATGATCACAGGTAAGACACCTTATACAGTACATAGAATGGTTGCCATCACCATCCTGCGGCGGAGGACATCTTACTGTGACCCTTTGCATTTGCCATCATGCCATAGATCGACTCGTATATTGGTATTGGAGCTAAAGAGATGGTTCTTCCGGATTTGGGGGAGGACTCATCCTGGAAAAAAACGATTCTTTAGGACGCATTTGGAGGTTCCAACCTAGACTTCAATGGACACTGATCTCAAGTGACAGCTCATACATTGACAGAGAGTGCAAACTGCAAAACACAAAACAAGAACATGTTCAAGGGAAATGCTGTTGACGGTTGAATCAATATGTACCACAAGCAAGCTCAAAAGATCAGAGCAGTCCATTGATTCTCCAGATTTCACGCACATGCGCTGGCGGCGCATTGTCTCCTCCGGATGTTTGGTCACTGGAGCAGGTACCTCGGATGGGAGTGGACTCGGATCCTTTGAAAAGCCAATCTTCCGGCAGTCACAAGTGCTTGGGGAACTCGTGGAGCCACATTCAGGTTGGCGTGCAACTGCAGATGCCTTTAATCTGTTCTGGGGTGATAAATCATCAAGAGCTCAACGTGGTGACCTTCCAATACATCCTTCTATTGACACTATTTCCTCCTCTGGTATACTATGTGATACGTCGCTTTTCATTTCCGCACTTCACACATTGCTGTCTATCCAAAACCTTCCCACAAGTGCTTCGGCAGCTTCCCACGAACTTGCTATTATCCGTTTGTCAATAAAGAGACCCGCAAAAAAGGACAAATTGGGAAGCCGAGAAGCCCAGGTATTCTTTGGTGGCAGCTCTTTGAGCTCTGCAAGCAAAGCCTACCAGTCCATGGTGAAGACCGACTTGGAAGCGAGGCTGGTGCTCCGACAGATGAGATCCTGATTGCAAAACTTGTCTTGATCCTTAGGAGCAAGGAACAAGCACAACTAGGACTCGTGACGGAAGCAGAGAGCAGCTGGCTTGTCTGCTGATTGTATTCAACAGCCGCCAAAAACGGCAATGACCAATTTAATAAAGACCTGACGCGAGAAAAAGACAGCTTGCTGAAATCTGGAGAAGTCCCTTCAAAAGCGTGCTCATGTCAATGCAGTTTTTCGACATGTTCAGATGTGTTGAATGTGCGGCTGGGATGACCCGATAGGCCCCCATCAAAGCGATGACGACTTGTTGTTTCAGGTGCACTTTGTTTCGCAGTAGTTTGGGTAGCAGACACTCATATTAAAGTCCTTGTGCAGGTTGAGGTCGAAGACAAGAAGAAGCTGAATGCACCATCTGAAACTTGGAGCTAACTTGTTGGAAATAGCAACTGGCGCAGAGCTAGGTCTAGGTCAGCTGAGTTTCACAGAGATTGGTTGGCTTGCTCAAGGAGCTTGCCACAGCAGACGCGTGACTTTAGACAATTCACTCTATACTCTATATAGAGACTTTTCAACTGAGTGCAGAATAAGTGAGTTACTATTCAACTGCGCGAGCGAATCTTGGTGTCTTTCTCTTTGACATCAGGCTCCCTTGAGCCCCAAGCTGATTGATGCTTCTGTCAAGCAGCCAGTGCACGAGGAGCAGGAACCAATGGAAGATGTGATTGGCCATTTATCGTTTCTTTTTTGCCACAGAGTCTGTAGGTTCATGGTCTATTTTATGTGAGGCTGTATGTGTTTTCAAAAGAAAGGTCCTTATCTTTTGACTCAAAGAAAGGTGGGTTTCTCAGAGACTCAAATGTTTACGTTGTGGCAGGAGCCATCCAAATCTCCACCCACCGTTGGGGGGCGAGTCGCAGTGATGGTCGTAGGGCGATCGCGGCTCTTCTCGTCAAGGATCTCTCGCTCGATGAAGGGCTTGAGGCATCTGAGTTCCTCGGCTTGAGAATCCACTGCAACGTTTGTACCAAGCAGTCATGGCTTACCTAGGGCCCAAACGAATCGATCCGGGCGAGCTTCTGAGAAAGCCGGATCTTGTTGCAACAATGTTACATCATGGGACCATGCATGAATAATTGCAGACACTCTCCCAAAGCATTGTAGTCTCAAGACTCTTTAATTGTTTTTTGCAGGCGCTGTTGCGCGTATGCCAGACACAGGAAGACCTTGTTGCTTCTATCTGGTGTCTATGCTGCCGTTATTTGTTGGTGTCCAAGGCCATCGAGCCTTCGAAAGGCTTAGCAACGAAAAGATCTCTTCACCTTTGGCATCACAGCTTTTGCATGTGCTTGAGCCCTTGAAAACTCAAGGGTTTCTGGTCGATCCTCGGCCCAGACGGCTGTTTTTCAACGAACTGTGGCTTGCTCACGAAGCCGTCTCGACCAACCATTGCAGGAGCTCCATTTCCTTTTAAGTGGCTCAGGGCGATTGTTGTGACGTATGACCAAACGTTCCCCTGGCAGATACATGTTCATCCGACACTCTTGATTAGCGCGCTTTGTGTCGCTCCGGCCTTTGCTGAGGATTATGTGCTGTGTGCTGACCAGGTCAAGGAACAGCACCCCGTAGCTTGCTTCCAAACGGACTGCTGTCTTGGTGGGTAATTTGGCAAAGACCTGAGGACACATGGAGAGCTTTGTAAACAACAACCAATCAGCTCTGCAAGGTTTTTGGTTTTGATTTGCGCAGAGCTTTCGACACAAAAGCACATTGCAGTACTGGAGTGTGGCATTGTTTGCCTCAGGACAAAACGTGGGTATGTTGCTCCTGTATTGATCATGGATCCACCTGCTAAAACTTTGACCCAGACAATTTCAATCATTTATGAGGCAACACAAAAAATCTGTGCCAAGGTCATTTTTTACTTTTACTGTTTGTTTGTCTGTTTTGACCTGATGAGAGGGAGGAGTGTCATATAGGCTCTTTCCTGATGACTCTTTGTTTTAACTTATCGTTTCAAGAGTCCTATTGTCTCACTTTCCTCCAGTATGTGTATATCGGCCATGCCTTTTCCCTCCTTTGCTGTCCAAGGCCATTGTAGAGGCCTGGAGCTTCGAGGCCAAGGATCAGCGCCAGCGATCTTCGGCTCCCACTTGGATGGAACAGAGCCAGTGGGTCCGCTTGAAAAAAGCCAGTTGTCCACGCTTCATGCGACCCGATCTTAAATGTGACAATATAAAACACATAGAACAATGCAATCAAGTGTTCAGATCTACTATAGTCAAATATTAGTTAGACACTTGACATGAAGTTTGCAAAGTGCATTCATGACTTGTCATGACAGCATTTTACATTTTTGCTTGTAGGCTCGAGGGTAGGAGTTTCAGTTTGAAGATAGGATGGAGGGGGGTACGTGTACCCCCGATCCCGAAGAGTCTGCCCAAATTTTGAACCTGCTGGCTGAGATTGGGCTGGTGGGTTCAAAATTGGCAGTTAGCCATGGGTCGGAACACGTGCTCGCAAGACAATTGGCAGACCGCCTAGGACTGGAGCATAAGCCATGGCATGCGGCTTTCGTTGTTGGGCAGGTTCGGGAAGCGGCTCTAATGGCGGATTTGGCTGATCGGGTATCCGGGTCGTCATCTACAAGGTCAATGCAGAACCTGCTTGATTCCAAAGCTGCAATTGAGAAAGAGAAGGTCCAGACTTAGGAGCCTGCAGAAGTTCAGGTGGTACTGCCTGGTGTGCCGAAGAGGGGGACACTGGGGAGAACGGTGAGATTGAAAAGTGGCCGGATAGCTGCTGAGGGGCTGAGGAGGAGGTGAATGACAAGGTGATGGACAAGCTAGTTGATGAGCTGATGCGGTATAGGGCGCCCGTGTACAAGAGCAAAAGAAGCGTTGCTGGGAAAGTATCGACTCTCGACAGTTCGAAGATATCTGGCTTCGTGGGGGCGGTTCAGGGAATGGTCAGATGCATTGTGCAAACCTGGTCAGAGGCCCAACAGTATCACGCTGGTGGACTACATGTATGCCCGAGAGGAGGAAGGAATGGGACCTTCAATCCCCTTGGCTGTGAGTGCAGCTGTAGCGTGGTTCGAGAGGACAGAAGGCACGCCAGAGGAGGACCTGTTGATGAACCAGCACTTCCCACAGATGGTCATGAAGGAGCTGACGAGGAGGCTGGAGCAGAAGGCACCTCCTATCCGGCGGGCGCCCCGTTGGTTAGGATGCTTCATTGCACCGCTGGAGACATTGGTGGTGGACGGAGCTGTGCCCTTTGAGATCCGGGTTTGCGCCTGGTTTAAGCTCATTAAGATGTGGGCATCAATGAGGTTTGACGATGCAGCGCATTTGAAGACTTCAGAGCTCCGCTTCTACGATGGCCAGTTAGTTGGGATGATGCACCAGTCAAAAACGACAGGGCCAGGGAAGAGAGTTCGGGAACTACCAATTTTCATTGCAAAAGATGCGTATGTTCTGCGTGACGATTGGCTGCAGGTTGGCTTTGACTTGGTGAAACTTCAGATGCCAAGGGACAGGGACTATGTTTTCCCAGAATCCTGCTTTTATGGCATGGTGTACGGGGCATCGCATGTCGCATATGCTGAAGCGGTTGCAGGAAGTACAAAGACATTGGCAGTGCTGGAGGGTTACCATGGGCGCCTCATCCCTTCGGGTTGGGAGAGGTTTTGGTCAGAGCACAGTGAACGTGCGACGCTGTCCAGCGGCCTTGCCGCGCTGGGAGTTGAGAAGTCAGACAGAGACCTCCTTGGACGGTGGTGTCCGGAGGGGTCTGACGTTTACGTGAGGACCTACAACGCGATCGTCAAGAAGATGCAGAAGAGGATCGTGGCTGTCCTACGCGGGGAGGCAGCCTATGAGGAGCTGGATGAGGGCTCCATCTTAGAAGAGCTGAAGGTTTGGCTGCGTGAGAAGTGGACAGTTCCTCAAGACCAGGCAGACAGTGTTGTGGAGCAGGAAGTTCTGGAGGGCCTCATGGCCAAAATGGAGGAGGAGAAGTTCATTGAGGTGTATGGGGAGAACCGGGCTGTGGCGGCCCTTGCAGTACTTGTGGAGGATG